AAGGCCCGCCAGTCAAACGGCGGGCCGGTGCGGGGGGCGTCCGGAAGTAATGACTCTGCCAATTCCTGGGCGTCCCCCAAGTTACAGCACCGCGCAGATCACCGTGTGGTTTTAGTGAGGTAAGCCCAGCTGCCGCAACGTCAGCGGCAGCAGCCGATCGTCATTAGGCGGGCAGTCCCACATAACCCGGGCCACTTTGTAAACTCCCTTCCCAGAGGGGGGCCCGGGTATCCATAAAGGATTTCCACACGTAAAAAAAAGGCCTTCCTCCTCCACCTCCTCTCCTTTCTCTTTGTTTAGCAGCTCCTTTCTAATTCCCATTATCATTCCTCCACTCGCCCTTCCCTTCTTGCTTATCCTCTTAGCCCATTGTGTTCCAGACATAACCCCTTGGTAACAGATTCTTATTTTTATCCCATTGCTTCCCTCCATCCATGTCTCCATTAATACCATCACATCCCACTCCGCCAGTCCTCTCCAAAATTCCCCATCTTTATTCCCTAGCCCCGCCACATTCCAAAAACAAACTTTTCATCCCTCTCCCTCCACCCCCTCTCCCCCTATACTCTCTCCTTCCTGCCCCCTCCCCTCCTCTCCCCCGGAATTATTCAACCTCTCTTTATCCCTCCCTTCTCTTCCCCCTATCCTGTTCCTCTGCTAATGCCCTTGTCATCCCTTAGTACTTCCTCTTCCTCATCCCATTCCCACCACTTCCCTTCTATCTTTATTCTCCCACCCTTTATCCAAGCCCTTCTCCCATTTGCCTCTTCCATTCTTGCTATTTGTCCCAGGTTCCATCTGACTTTCCTTTCCCTTCAAGTTAGATCTTCCGTGATTCTTTCTATTCTCCCTCTCAAATTTTTCTTTCTCTCCATTATATCCCATTTCTGTTCTTCATTTCCTAACTCTCGTTCCTCTCTCCTAGTCTTCTTATTTCCTTTACCTTTGCCTTCGTACCTATTATCTTGAGAATCTCCTCCACCGCCTCCTTCCTTTTCCCCTCCTTTACCTCTACTCCTCTTAGCATCACGTTCCTTCTTCTTTCCTCCTTTTCCTTATTCTCCAGTCTTTTTTCCAATCTTCTCATGTTCATCATAATCCTGCTCTCGCCCTCGTCATTCTTCCCGCTCCCCTCTCTATCCCCACCCCCTCCCTGCTCTAGTTTTTCTATTCTTTCGTTCATTCTTTCAATCCTTTTTATCAGCTCTCCTTTCTCCTCCCTCCATTTCTTCCACCATCCTCTGATTTCCTTTCTCACTTCTTCTACTACTCCTTTCATTATTCTTTCCTACTCCTTCATTATACCTTCTCTTATTCTCTCCATCATCTCTTGTAATCTCCCCTCTATATTTATTCCTACTTCCTTATCTACACCTAAATCTAAATTTAAATCTAAATCTAATTCGTTCGTTCTCTTATTTATTCCTATCTTCTCTTCTTCTCCATTTTTTCCCGGCGATCTTTCTGTTAGTTTACTCCTTTTGAAAATATCATCCTCGCCTCCGCTTTTTTCCAGTTCATTTCTTTTTCTCTTCCACATATCCTCTATACTTTCCGCGCTCCCGCATCTCGTCTTCTCTGTTCTCACCTTATCTATCCTACTACCTTTTCCGTCCATTTCTCCACCTTCTCTTCCTTTCCTGCTCTTCGCCCGCCCGTCCCCCCGTTCACTCACCTGATTACCCTTCTATGTGTGATGTTGTCTCTATGCCCGTCTCTCGTCCGTGCTTGTTTACCTCGTTCCCGTCTACTCTTCCTCCTTCCTCTATGCCTCGCCCTGCTCCCTTGCTCGCCCTTTCTGCCTAGATTCTCCCTTTACTCACCCCTTTTTTGTTCCTTCCCTTTATCTTATCTCATACTCTCTCTCTTCCGCTCTCTCTCTCACCTCCACTCTCACTCTCGGCACTTCTCTCTATCACTCACTCTGCCCTCCCAAAGTATCCGACCGATCACGCACGTGTCACTGTTATCGCGCTGGAAGCGGAAGTCCTCCAAGAAACTAATTCTTCTATTAATTTCTCTTTCAATAGTGAATTGTAGTCTATTATGATAGCTATTAAATCTAGCCATGCTGTTGTCGACTAATGATTTTGGGGCTGCTAACAGTATGTCGTCCACATATCGGTAATAGAATACTAACGAATGTTCAAATTCCCTGAGTATCTGTTCTTCGAGATCTCTCATCACAATGTCCGCTATGATGGATGAGAGAGGGGAACCCATAGGTGTACCAAACGATTGCTTGTATATGACGTCAAATGTGAAAAAAGTGGAAGTTAAGATGAAATTAACGGCAGATAAGAATTATTTTTTAGGGATTCCTGTATTGTTTTTAATTAATTCCCATCTTTCTCTGATGCTTTTGATGGCTAGGTCTAATGGGACATTGATGAATAGTGAGACAACGTCTAATGAAAAAAGTGTAGTTTCTTCAGGTAAAGTTATCCCCGATAAGAACCGGTATAGACAACGTCATATACAAGCAAACGTTTGGTACACCTATGGGTTCCCCCTCTCGCCCATCATAGCGGACATTGTGATGAGAGATCTCAAAGAACAGATACTCAGGGAATTTGAACATTCGTTAGTATTCTATTACCGATATGTGGACGACATACTGTTAGCAGCCTCAAAATCATTAGTCGACAACATCATGGCTAGATTCAATAGCTATCACAATAGACTACAATTCACTATTGAAAGAGAAATTAATAGAAGAATTAGTTTCTTGGAACTTCAACTTGAAGTGGTCATAGCGAAATTCATATAGATTGGTTTCATAAATATACATTTTCAGGGAGACTCCTGTCATTCCACTCTAACCATCCTATGAGTCATAAAATAGGCACCATACTCGTATATGATTTAATTGATAGAGCAATACTATTGTCACATCCTACGTTTCATGCGAAAAATCTCGACCTATGTATTAATATGTATTAATATATTATATTATTAGTCATTGGATACCCCCTCCAACTTATATTCAACAAAATTAACAATAGAATAAAGATTTTACAAAAGACAGAATAAAAGCACTGACGTAAATGACGAACCGGACGAACCTCCTATGAAAAAACTTCTAATTCTACCTTTTCTCAATTCTGTTCAGAAGTTAAGGGGGCATAGGACTCTTTCGGCTGTAAAATGTATGTTTTTTTCATTATTTTTGGAAAAGATATATAAGCTATAAAAATCGGGTTTTTTAATAAATAAATATACATCTTTTTGACTATTATTTACAATTTTATATTTTAAAATTTATTGAAAAATACTCTGTCAACAGTCCCTCGCTTTAGACCTTGCACGGCATGCAGCGTTTTGCGGTACCAGAGATATCTCCGAGTTGAATTATCTGATTGTGAGACAAAAAATTCAAGAAAGACCTTAAAGTATACTAAAAATTGTAGTTCCTATCGGATGGAATTTAAAATTTTTTTATTTTTAACAAAATGGCGGACTTTTAAACGTAAAACATCGATTTTCGGCAACACTTCTTACTTTCTTTCTGGAAAAAAATATAAAAAATCAAAGAATCGAAAAAGCATCCGATAGGGACTAGAGAATTTTTATATTTTATAAGCTTTTATAAGCTTTCATTCAAAAAAAAACAAGTAAATCGGTTGATCCGTCCTTGAGTTATCCATGGTACCGATTTTGAAAGAGCAGTTTCGAGAAAATCGCGTTTAAAGTTTTGCAACAAGGCTACAGACAGCTGTACACAAAGCCGTTTAAAGTGCTGTAACTTCCAAACTATTTCGAATTTCAAAAAACGGCTTTGGGGTAACATTCTTAAGACATTAAGCATTCAAAATATGCAAAAAAATTTTTCGATTTTTTGTAGCCAAAAGAGTCCTATGCCCCCTTAATTAAACCACTAATAGACAAGACAAAGTTCATACTAGGATTTAGGGTCATCAATAAAATGAATAGATTCATATGTGCAATCAAAGATAAGGCTAACAAATTAAATATGAATAATGTGGTCTATAAAATTCCATGCGCAAATTGTGACGCATCATACGTTACAGATTAAAAGGAAATTACAGACTAGATTAAAAGAACACACCAATAACATTAGATTAGACCCATCGAAGCATTCAGTTATAACACAACATACAGGGTGAGTAAGTATAACCTTTTACCATTGAAAATACAAGTTCGGAATAAAATTCTAAGATAAATTTTCCTCTTGTAAAACTTTGGTAAAAGCTTATTTTTCGAGATATAAATAAAAATTGTTACCCTATCACACGTCGAATACAGGAGGTAGGCAGGGGCGGCGCAACTCACAGTCAGGCGCGGGCTCTTTCGTGGGGTGGCCGTTGCGATCAGCTTCTCTCTGGTTCACTCATTCACTCACTCACTCACTCACTCACTTACACTTGGAACACACGTTTATCACCATTATTAATCGCTATCGATTAATCATTCGGCGACTAATAATCCTTGAAAGACAACCAAACACGTGTTCCTTCCAAGGATTGTCAGTCGCGACACAACAAGCACTCACTTCACGACAAGAAACTAACCACATTTAATTTGTATGTACGCACAGCAAAGGCGATTTGTAAACTGAACGCACGAAAGCGTTGTTAGTGCACTAAACTATCGACGCGCGACTCACGGACAGGTTTCCGTTCAACCGTAATGTATGATTGGCCTGTTTTGAACCTTTTTATCTAAGAAAACTACTGCTCGGAACGAAAAATGGCACATAACTTTTTAATTTATTTTTTCGACGGCATTCTTGCTATGGTATTTTGACTCGCGAATTTCAGGACACCCTGTGTAGTAGCATATACCAAAAGTCTGGAAACGGCCGAATATTTCATAAACTATGCATTTTAGAAAGAAATGTTTCAGACAAAAGTTGTTTGGTTCGAAGAGGGACACATGATGGTGTTATTGGATTGACCTTGAATGAATGTGCCAAGGTTATATGGAGCTCAACTTTGATTTTTAAATGGAACTCCCTATGTTTCATTGAATATTCTTGTAGCTTATCTCGAGAGCTTTTCAAAACACTATAATTAAACGCTCTTAGAATCAAACATCTTTCGTCCGCAACATTTTTTTCTAAAATGCATAGTTTATGAAATATTCGACCATTTCCAGACTTTTGGTACACCCTGTACACCTATAGTAATAAAATTAATTGTTTTCTTTATTATTATTGCATAACTGCAACGATAAATTCGTATTCTACTACCTTATCACACACTTCATTAATAGAGAGACAGGCTCAATAAGGCATTTTAAAACATTTAGCCTTGATATTCTCCAATGGAATAACATCATAATCAAGAGCTAATTCAGAACACTTGTAAATACCGACTGAGGATGAGCTGATGCCAATACTATAAAAATCTGCTATTTGAAGAAATTTTTTAACGACAAAAAAATAATTATTTTCATATTGGAAGATATTTTTCACGCAACATATACTTATTTAGTCTTCATGGCTTCCGGATGGTTGCCGCGTCCGTTTGCAGTGTGGTGCCGACGTTTCGCAGGCGTTGCAGTCTGCTTCATCAGGGCTGGGAGACTCTGATACTGAGCTCCCTCGCGTTGCGCTAGTCCTTTTATACTCGTTCTTGGGGGGGAGGGGGTAGTCAGGGGGAGGGGGTGGTCAGAGGGAGGGGGGTCAGCCTATGCCGGCTGACAGTTTTTTAAAAAACCGGGAGGGCGGTGTGCCATATCGGACTCACCTGATAGCCTTTGTCGCGATTCAGATTGTCAGGGTGTTTCAAGATTTCTATGCCTTCGCGGTGTTTCCGTGTGAAATAGCTTTGGGACGGGGCCAGCATGGTGGCTTTGTCGAACTGGATGGCGTGTTCGGTCTCGATCTTGTGTTCGACTAGAGCTGATTGTGAGAAGTGGCCGTATTTGGTACATCGCTGGTGTTCTTTGATTCGTGTACTAATTTTCCTCCCGGTTTCTCCTATGTACACTTTGCCGCAGGAGCAAGGGACCTTGTAAACCCCTGGGGCTGTCAAAGGGGGTCTCCGGTCCTTGGGATTGGGGAGCATTTGTGAGAGCTTGTTGCAAGGTTTGAAAATCGCTTTGATGTTGTGTTTGCTCAGGATTCTGCTGATGCGGTCCGTAGTGCCTCTGACGTATGGGAGTACTACTGCCTTAATCTTCTCTTTCTCTGTCTCTGGTGTCGTGGTGTTGTTCTGGCCGGATTCCTTGTT